TAGTGTTTTATCGGAAGTTAAGCTTTCTATTAAGCTAAATGCCTAGGAACTTTATCGCCTCTGTTACCGGTACCGAAAAAGTATTAAGGGGGAGTAGGGTAGGTAAGGGTTAGCGTGACTTCGTGAAAGGGATATAGATATACTTAGCTAGTTTAAATTATAGTCCGCTCGCTATCTCCTAATCTAAGTATATCCGCTATATAGCGGTAAGGCGTTACTATATCTATACTTTTATTCTACTAAAGGCGATAATATTCGTATTATCGGTAAAACCTATTACTATTATTTTAGGAACCCTTTTTAGTTTTTCGTATAGAGTAAAGATATAAAGGATAAAAAGGATAAAGAAGATTAAGGAGCCCTATAGTATACCCCTATAAAGGTACCGTGGGGGGGCCGTTCCGCTATTAAGTAATAGCTAGGCTATATAGTCTTAGAGAAAGCTACTAATTAGGGTAGTAAGCTACTAGGGGAAGCCTTCCTTTTAAGTATTTTAAGGAGGCGAGAATAAGGGATAGTATCGAAGGCGCCTTTAATATTTAGTTAGAGTATTAAAGCGATACCGTTATAAGCCTAGCTCGCCTTTACGGCCTTTATAACTCTTTATACTACTATCTTTATATTTCGCCCTATCCGGTTAGCTAGTATCCCCTTAAGGACCTTACCTATTATACTAAGGAGTAATATCGGCCGCTAGCCCTTTACTATCCCGTAATCGGCCGGCGGCCGGTCTTCCTTCTTAAGTATTACCACGGTAGCGTGGCGGCACCTTTTCGGGTAATAGCTCGCTTTAAGGTATACTATAAAGATAGCACTAAGTCTTTAGCATAAAGGGGGTCTATATACTTTTAGGAGCCCTACTAGGAGTCTATTAGGACCTAGTACCGCCTAGGGTTTTATCTTCTTAAAGCGCCCCTATACGTCCGCTATAATAACGTCTTAGCGGATATCCTACCCCGGGGGGAATTCCGCGCCTAAGGGCCTAAAGGCGGTAAGGAGGGGGGGGGGGAGAACTTCCGGTTAAGGATTTCGGCTTTCTCTATATATATAGTTACCGGGTAATCGCTATTATCTCGGTATAGTAATAGTATTAATAGGGGGTCCGGTAGTATACCCTTTTTAATTCGTGCTTATTTTTATAACCGCTAGAAAAGGCTATTATCCTTCTCGGTTAAGTAGAGTAGGTGCTATTAGTATAGCCGCTTCGCTACCGCTATAGCCTTATCTCGGTACTTCTCCGCTTCCTAAAACTTATCCTATCGGTTCCGGGACTTCTTAGTTATATATCTATAGTAAAGGCGCCTTACTTTTTAAGTAAGGGCAGTTAGCTCCGTATTCTACTCCTTTATTAGGTTATCTAGTACTAAGTCGATATCTCCTAATATTATAAGGGGGCCGGTCTACTATAGCCGTATAGCAGTAAGCTAGGGGACTTATAAGGGGTTAAAGTCTTTCTAGACCTAGCAGGGCCCTTTTAGGTCCCGCGGTAGTATTATCGCGGTAATCGATATAGTATCCGTCTTTATAAGGATTCAGGCTATCTATAAATAATAGTTAGACCCGATAACGGTCTTATCCGGGCTATTAAAATTATAGCGGAGCCCTTATATTACCTATATAAGGTTAATAGTACTAGTATACCGGCCCGGGCGGTGCTATATAGTTATTCCGGGGGGGGGTTACTAGGTCTAGGTTCTATCGGGTTATAAGAGTAAGTAGGGTATCGGCTTAGGGGTAGTACCGTAGTAGCTATAACTATAAGGGGTAGTATAGCTTAAAGTTCCCTACGAGGATGTATTAGCCTTATAGTAGCGCCGTGTCGAATATATCTTATAGGAGTATATTCTAGGGGGTCCTAGCTAACTAGTAGTTCTCTAAGTAAATCGACTAGATTATAAGGGTATTATCTCTAGTCCTGAATATAACCGCGTAGGTATTATAGTAGGCCCGCTATATCTATATATATAGCGGGTGTCTTTTATAGATATACAAGGGGGTATAGCCTCCTCCCTAGATTAGCCGGTATACCCCTTAGGAGGGGTATACGGGGCTTTTCGTGAAACGGTTAAGGCCGGGTTCTTAGATTACTATTATATCGTACTCGGCGCGGTACCGGAGCGGTAGCTCTCGCTACGCCTAACTCCTCCCTATATTCCACGAAAAGATATAGATTTTTATTAGTTAAAGGGGGGGGGTTAAGATAATATACCCGGTATAACCAAGGTCTAGCTCTAGGGTTCCTACTACGGTGCCTTACCGGCCCTATAGGGGACTATATAGGCGCTTATCGGGCCTAGTATCGGGGAGCCCTCCTATCCCCTAGTCCTTTTCGGCGGCCGACCCCTACCTTTACGGAGGGGTTAGTCCTAATCCTAAGCGATAATAATTAGGGGGAAAATCTAGGGCTACCGCGGGTATACCCCTTTAGTCTAACGGGTAATATCGAAGTCTTTAGCTCGGTACTTATATACTTTACGGGTTTTCTTAGCCTCTTTCTTTAATAATCGGTATATATCGTTAAAGGTATTATAGTCTCCGGTATAGGCGGCGTAGCGGCGGGGGCGGCCTAGCGCTATAACTTTATAGTATCTTAGGCCCTAAGGGTATACCAATTTAGGCTTAGCATAATAGCGGTATACCCTCTCCGCTATAAAGTAGCTATTCGCCTAGTAGCCGAAGTATAGGTATTTATAGCACCTTAGGAGACTAAGGTCGGGATTATATAGTTTATAGATATAGCTACCCCCCTTAAGGAGGAGGGTATTCCGGATAAAGCTTACTACCCTTTCCGGCGAAGCTAATTCGATAAGGAGGAGCGCTACCCTACTAATACTATAATAGGGTACCCGTTATTATACTCGGATAATATTTACTTTAGGGTTTATATCTTATAGGGATACTAATAGGTCCTCTTCGGATAAGGCGTTAAGGACCTTATAAAGGATAGCCTTAGCTAGCGTAAGGTAGGTATATACGGCTAGGGTAGCTCCTTTACTAAAAGCCTTTTTAATTTATTATTCCTTATAGATAGCCTACTATTATACCCTTTCGGTAAAGGTAAGGTAGATATCTCCGCTTAGTAGTTTCTATACCGCTACGGTATCGTATCGGGTAATTATAGCGTTTATAGCTTAGATAATATCTTTTAAGGTCCTATTCTTAAGGGGCTAATCTTCGGGGAGGGTTCCTTAACGGATAATTAATTCCCGGTAATGCTTAATAAGGATTACTTTAAGGGGGGTTAAAGTCCTATAGCGGTACCGTTATAGAAGCCTAGGCTATAATACTAGCCTAGGTCTTTTTCGTGCTATTTATTCCTTTTCGGAGTTCCTCTTATATAACGTAATAAATAGTAACGTATAGGTATACTAGCGGTATTATACTAGCGTCCTTACGGGTAATACGTATCGTGATTATTTCCTTTACTAGCTCTATAACCTACTTAATCGTGTTCTTATTAGCTAGTAAGGCCTAAAACTTTACCTTAATCTTAGTTACTCTCAGTTCCGGGGGGCGCGGTAATCCCCTTTTAGTCTTATATCGGTTCCGCGCTATATCCCGCCACGGGTAAAAAGGGGGGGGGGGGAGCGCTCGTATTACGAAAAGTAAGCCTATTACGAATTCTGCGTGGATAAAATCGGGATAATAGGGGCGGGATTATCCTATATCTTTTCCGGTTATACCGTAACGCCGGTATTACGGTGCTGCTATAATAGTATCCCGGGAAGGAGGCGGTGGGTATAATCTCTATCTTAGTAGTTTTATCGATTTTACTCCTATTACGCGCCCGTGGTTAATAGGCGTGGCCGAGGTTATTAGTTATTATAATAATAGCTTAATTTAACGGATTAAAAGACTCGTATTAAGTAGTTAAAATAACTATACGAAGATATTAAGCGTGCTAAAGCCTTGTCTATAGCGACGATAATAGCCTCCAAGGGCGTGGCCGATCTAATAGATATAGATCTTATTAAGCCGATCTGGCTAATTAGAATCGAGGAACCGATTATAATAGAATTAAATTAAACGGTTAAATAGGGCGGATTTAGATCTCTTTTATAAGGGCGTTTTCCTTTAACTATTATATTTATAATAGAAAAGTTAAGAGCTTTTAGTTTAAACCGAAGCCTCTAATTAGTTAAACTAGCAGGATCCACCTTAACTAAGGGGGTGTATCGTATAGGTATACGGACCACAATATAATCCTTAGGGGATCTATGCCTAACTAAGGGCTTCGGACCTCGGGGACCTCGGGTATTAGGATATAATAAGGGGAGATACCGGGAAAGACAGGATAGATCTAAATAATATAGTACCTATACTAGAGTCTTCACTACCTAAATTAAGGATATAAGAGAATTATATAGATATAACTTAATATAATATATATATACGAGACTTTTACTCTATTGGTTTAACTATATAAGTGCTAGTTTGATATACGATACCACCTACACCTACGTTATCGCCTTTACGTGGTAGCGATAAGTCCCTGAACCCGATAACGCTAATAACTCTTTATTAGATATATTATTCTGCCTATAGAATTAGGCGTAGTTTACGTGATAAGGTGAAAATAAACCTTATTATATAACGTAAAGTAATAAGCTTTATTAAAGGGTTATTATCCCCAGCGTCTAAACTAATCTAGGTAAAGAGGGACCTCGTATATACGAAGTATACCGAGCTTATTATAAAGTAACGCTACGCTACTAAGAATATCTAGCCATAGCATAGAGGGGTTTTAATAGTAAACGATACACGTAGGATAGCTAAATAACGTGTTAAGGATAAGGTTATAAAGGCAGAGTATATACTAAAGGCTATATATTTAAAGAAGTAGAGAGTATATAAAAAGGTAGGCGAAGAAGCTATAAAAGCGGCTAGGGCTTAGAGGAAGGCTAAGCGATTAGGTAAGCTATATATTACGTCTAGGATAGGTTATTAGGTTATATTATCTTGATAGTTATATATAGCTTTAAAATCGTAAAAAAAGTAGCCATAAACTATCATAGCAATAAAACTATCCAGCACCAGCTTATAGCTAGTGAGTGCCTAATAAACCAAAATATAAGTGGGGCGTGGCACGGGTTGTCGTCAGCGCTCTAGCTGATCCCGGTCCCAGCATACAATATTATACAAGCCCTTGAACACAGAGCACCGTCATTCTTCAGCTTTCCAATTCAAGCTGCCCATGCAACCAATGTTAGCGTGTTTGCCACGCCACAACCGCACGGGAATCACGATGCCAATGCCGTGTCGCTGTCGCCGTCACTGAGTATCTCGACCTCATCGATAGCGCTGCGTCGTTCTCTGACGGGACCCTCACGAACCATTCGAGGATCATGATCTGCCACATGAATAATAGCTTTCCCCTGGACATGCTTGACGTTTCGTTTCCAGTCCTCCCAGTCTTCTTCGTCCAGTATGAGAAACCCCACCAACATACTTGGATCCATCTCTCTTACATGTAAACGGCGAAGCCGTCTAGTGTGAACTGAATCTACATCTGCCTCTGTATACTTGCCATGATCTTCGTACCATGGCAATGCTGGCCGAGTGTGATGAGGATCAAGGTAGAAGAGGTACAAGCCTTGTGTCCCGACAAAGTAATGCGAGGAAGAAGGCCGGCCACTGTGTATGTGATTAGCTGGGGTACATCGTTGAGAATCGAGGTGCGCGTACCCTGCTATCCCGACTGACTGCGGCATTTGGAGAGCTGCTAGAAGCGCCTCCCAATATACTGGCGTTACCTTATCAATACCTAACCTCGTGCCCACGAGAATCAGAGTCGGGCGAAAAGCTTGCCCATCTGGCTTGGCAAGGTTCATGAAACCGTCCTGATATACATCAGGACCGTCGCCCGTTGAATAGACACGAAGCTGTGGTTCGTGTTCATTCGCCAAGGCCCTGCGTGAAACGGGTCAGCCCGAGAGAGATTCAACATTTGCATCCACTATTTATCCCTCACTGTATGCATCGGGCTGTGGCAGACGGCCCAAACCACTCCCCGGGATATTTTCCACACATCGCAGCGCCGTGCTTGACAAACTGGTGTATGGAGTACGGTGCTCTCGGGTCATCGGCGAACTTAGCCAGAAGATTTCGTTCTGTGTCTGGCTTTGTTCCTCGTCGCCACTCTGTCCGCGGATTAGCTCAAAAAGCCCCGAAAGGCAGACCAAGTCGCCAACTCACCACGGCCGAGGGTATGCAGCGCCATGGCGTTGGCCAGCAGACTCTGGCCGGATCGGATCATGCATCCCCACCCCGTATCAGAGGAGAAGCCGCTCTGGTCTGTGAGATGGCTCTTGATTCGCATCGGTAAAGATAGAGCCGATGCCGCGCGCGGGTGGGTGGACTTCGGAATAGGTCCAAAATCGCATCGGTAGGTCATCCAGAACCTTGACTCGAAGTCGTCAAGGAAGGCAGACGGCCAGCCCTTATCGTCTCCCATAGTATCAAAGGTTAGAGATTTGGAAACCTTGCTGGTAACCGTTTCGAATGTGGTTCGGTAGGTGCTCCCTAAGGCCAGCGATTCCTCCGGTTTGGCATCACATTGTGGCGACCTGGTAGTGTTGGGTTGGGCCAGGGCCGGACTCGTTTTGTCACTGTTGTTTGCACCTCTGGTGCCTCTGGTGTATGAAATCCCCAGGCACCAGACCGGCTGGTCACTGTTTTGGTCGTTAGGTGGCTCGGGGTCCCAGAGCATCTTCTGCACGAATCTGCGATATGGCCCAAGATCAACACCCGACATGACCGATTCCATGGTCGACGAAAGTGGATTAAGCAGAGGCTGGCCACTGCTGATAGAGAGAATATAGTCTCGTGGTTGCCCTGAGATATCGCCAGTACGTCGGCAATATTGTACTCTCTGCCCTGGTGATCCCAGGGGGTCGTGCGGAACTGATGACCGTTGTGTCGGTTACAATACAAGACCAGTGTCTCCCGTGTGGAAACAGTGGCAAATATCGATGGATGATCTAACCATGTAGCTGGTAATCACAAGGCTCTGAGACGAGTTCGAGTTCCTGATCGTTGTTCTACCGGACACTTACGAACTATGTGGTTACAGGGGCGACATGCTTCTCAGAGACAGACCGTCCAGAGTCAAGTCATCTTATCCATACCTTTTCTAGCACCTTTGTCAAGACCAGCGAACGGACAGGCGTCCCCCCACTTTTCTGCCCCCGCAATCTCGACCACGAACACGAAGTAAGAGGCACTACTAAACAGGGCAATTTAGCCCCTATATTACTATTAATTTAGAGATAAAATATTATATATTTAGGTATTAAGATAGGTTAGGCTATATATATTTATTATTATTATTATTATTATTATTATTATTATTATTATTATTATTATTATTATTATTATTATTATTATTATTATTATTATTATTATTATTATT